CAAAGTTCGGGTTTTACTTATAATCATAGTGAAATTAGGTGTTTGAAGGAATTGGTGCAAATTCGACGATTTAGTTTTCAAACTTTTAAAGCTGTTCCGCAAGGTTCTTAACTACGTCTCATACTTGTTATATAAATTCAATATTTACAGAACGAAAATTTAATGCAAATCCGACCATACGTTTCTTTTTTGTTACAATTTGAAATTTTTTTTAGAGTTGTACCACAAGATTCTCAACTTTGTCCTTTAATTATTACAAAATTCAATATCCCCTATAAGACTTAGTAAAATAAATGATGTAAATTCAACAAAGAATTGTTCTATAATAAATAAAAGACTAATTCAAATATAAGGTTCTCAACTTTGTTATTATAAAATTTAACAATTACAAATGAACTTGATGGTCTGAATTGAATGAAGTATTATTATTATTATTACATTAATATGATAAATTTGCTGCTCGTGTTCCCGCGAGGTTCTCGACTTTGTCCTACAAAGAAAAAAGTTTGGATTTTATTTTAATCATAGTGAAATTAGGTGTTTGCAGAAGATTTTGTGGAAAAAAAAGTTAATGATGCAAATTCGACGATTTAGTTTTCAAACTTTTAAAGGTGTTCCACAAGGTTCTTAACTGCGTCTCATACTTGTTATATAAATTTAATGTTTACAGAACGTTTGCTGAAAATTTAGTGCAAATACGACGATACGTTTCTGTTTTGTTGCAATTTGAAAAGTGTTTAGAGTTGTACCACAAGGTTCTCCACTTTTCCCTATAATTATTGCAAAATTCAATATCCCCTATAAAACTTAGCAAAATAAATGATGTAAATTCAACAAAGAATTGTTTCATAATAAATAAGTAAAAGACAAATTCAAATATGAGGTGTTCCGCGAGGTTCTCAACTTTCATTCAATATTTACAGAACGTTTGCTGAAAATTTAGTGCAAATCCGACGTTACGTTTTTGTCTTGTTGTAATTTGAAAATTGTTTAGTGTTGTGCCACAAGGTACTTGACTTTGTCCCATAATTATTGCAAAATTCAATATCCCCTATAAAACTTAGTAAAATAAATGATGTAAATTCAACAAAGAATTGTTTTATTATAAATAAAAGACTAATTCAAGGTGTTCCGCGAGGTTCTCAACTTTGTCCTTTAATTATAGTAAAATTTAACATTTACAAAAGAATTGAATGAAGTATTATTATTATAACTACATTAATATGATAAATTTGCGGTGGTGTTCCCGCGAGGCTCTCGACTTTGTCCTACAAAAAAAATATGTTTGCTCTCGAATAAAGCATAATTCCAGGATTATCACTAAGCTCTTGTTGAACATTTCGTAATCCGTAACGTTTTGCGATAATTTTCTATAAATACGCGTTTATGCGTTTTTCGGTCGATGGCCTTTTGACTTAATTCCTCGCCCCGATCGTTCGCGCTCGCAGCTCTCGAGGATTTGTTACATTTCGCGCTGAGGACGAAACACACTGTTGCGGATTTAACGAGTTGTTATCGGTTTCGAAAACAAAGTGTCGACATTACAAACACACACACACACACAGATATTCTAGAGAATACGTGCATACACATGCAGATTGAAATACAAAAACACAGACGTATTCGCACGAATCTGTTTTGTAAGCGATCGTAGCACGTCTCTCTCTGTCTCTCTCTTTCTCATTCACTCACTCTCCGCATTTTCTCATCTCTGCACTTTTTTTTCCACTTCTTGTTGTTGTTCTCTCTTCGTATATATTTTATATTCCCACAAATCAGCAAAGACAAAGGGGACGGGAATCAACAATTCAACGCGTCTGCCGTTTCACCTGCATACATGCATGCATATACACACGTCTGCCAACGCGAGCAAAAGAAAAGATTGAACCGAACAAAAGAAAGTGTTAGTAACGACATTTGAATGAAACGACTCTTCAATACTTCAACTGTAAAGGTGATAAGTTGAGATTTGCACGTTATTGCAAAATTTCATTTAAAGAAAAAAACACTTTGCAAATTCGATTGTGATTGATAATGAACAAAAAATTAACTTTCATAGAAGACTTTGCAAAAAAAATGAAGAAAATCGCTTAATAAGTTATTGAATAAATTGAGTTTAAAAGATAAGTTCCTCGAGGTTCTCGCCTTTGTCCCAAAACAAAATTTTAATATTTTTTTTTGATAAAATTGCGCAAATTTTACTACAATTTAATGATTTAATTAAAAAAATAATCGATTAAGCTAGCGAAAAATTAGTCTATTCATCGAGAGAGTGAAACAACTTTCTATATTGAGTTTCGATTGCGAAAGAATCAAAGAATGGAGAGGAACAGGATGCATTCCGAACAAACTAGAATATCGACGTGTGCTCTTTCGAAAACTCATTTAACAAAAGCAAAACAAGAAAAAAAAAGAAGACGAAACAAAGAAGCATTTCATTCAAGGCTCCGAGTTTCCAACAACTCCACTTTCAAATCGATTTACTTCATTGCATAATATTACTAAAGCGTTTAGATTAATTTATAATTTTCTTTAAAATTAAATAGAAAGAAGAAAGAAACAGTGCATTTTGTTAAAGAAATTTTTATTGGGAACATCATTTGTTGTTACGTTTCTAAGGAAACGATCGTCGACGTTGCCATATGTAAACTCTTTTTCTGTCACAGTGTGTTTTGCATTTTTTGTTTTTGTTTAGCCGAAAGATGATTACACAACGTCCGGGCGTCCGTGAATAATTGAGCGTCGCCCCGTAATAATGCAATACGTACAGCGCGAAACTTTTTCCCTTCCAGTCGCGCACACACAAAAAAAAACGAGGGAAAAAATTTCGATTCAAAAAAACTTGCATTATTCACCTGAAAACAACCTAAAAATAAACCGCTTTTTTTGTTTGTTTGTTTTTTTAATATATGTGTTGGGGTTGTTGGGTTACCAAGGTAATAATAAATTCCATTTTCGGTAATGGGCGTATTTAGAGTTACGTTATTAGAATTACCATGACGACAACGACGATGGTGATCTTCTGTTGCGTTCCTTTGATGGACGACTACTCGGATGGGCGAAAAAAGTGGTCTTGTCCGAGGATGGATCACGGGCAGGATCAAGTTCAGTTCAATACCACCATAAAAATGAGCATCCTCCTCTCGCATTCTCTCTGCGTCTGTGCCATTACGTAATGCCGACACATGTTCGAATGATACGAGAGAAACCAACAACAAATGCATGTATACGGATATCTGAAGACAGTGGAGACACGCAAACATGCAACATTCCCACTTTGATGAAATTCTCTTGAACTTTGCTGATCTTAAATTATACCCATTCCCACATCAATATTTTGAATAATTCATCATGAAACAGTTCTAAATTGTTTATTTATTAAACTAAATATGATTTTAATGCAACAGACTTATTGACATTTCATTTTGACATTTTAAATGTCAACTTGACAACAGTTTATAGGATTCCGCCATGTTGTTGTTTATACGAATCTTTGGTAACGCATCTCGACGCCATTGTGATTGCAATTTAGGTTAATTCGAAACAATTGGTTTGATGTATCCAAGCGACATTGGAAATGCTTTGAACATAATGCGTTCACATTAATAACTGTACATTTCATCATTTAATCTTCTCATATTTTTTTTAATAACAAACATTTTATGGAGCAATTCTTGCACATGGTTGACACGTTAGATTATTATAACCTGGATGGAAAACAGACCACCTCTTGATGACGATAAAAGGGAAAGACGGAGCCACTTCAAATCTCGTATTTCTCGGGAGTTATCTTCGAAAAGTTTACTCTCTTAAAGCTCTTAAAAGCATTTACAGACGAATCGACTTTGACTTACTTCAATTTTTTTTTTTAAATGAAGAAAACAACAAAAGGAAACAATAACAGTTTATTAAAAACAAAATTAATCTGTAACCTAGAAACGTGTTATAAAGGAATTAGTTGTGTGTGTGTGTGGGGGGCGATACGAGAAAACACCGTAACCACGGCAATTGTCGAAGAGTAGACCTGCATTATTTTACGGTCTGCCGCATTCGCTGTTCAACTTCTTTTTTTTTGCCGTGAACCTTTCGTTGCATAACGAAGCCAAAATGTAAACCGTGCACTGACGTATCGAAACCTTTCGTTTTTTATTTTTTGTTTAAAACGAAAATTTTACACTTTTTCTACTATAAATACAAACAAAACAAATATTACAGTCGCAAATTGTTTTTATAATTTTCAGCTCACGTATAATGGTGGTAATGAAAAATTGATGCGTTCGTGATTGCGCCGAACATTAAATATGTATTTAACGTTATAATAATATTATAATATTTGCAGCATTTGCTGTGTGAAACGCGACGGAAAGTATTTGTAAATAGTGTGTAAATTATTAATATGCAAAACGCAAATATCTAAACAAACACAACAAAATGGAATAAGTACATGTTATTATACGAATTACAGGCGTATTATCGAATAATTCGTATTTCGGGTTAAGGTCCGTTCGATATTTATAATCGGATCGTATTGAATATGCATGGAAAACTGTAGGTATTTTCGGTTATCGAAAACCTTGACCAGATAAA